TTAAAGCAGTGGTGATTTAGTTTAGGTAACCATAATTGTTGTTTTAGGGATAAATTCATAAAAGAGAAAATAACTTACATGAATGAAAAATGTTTTTAGTGGCAAGTCCAATAATTCCCAAATTATCATTAATAGGGCAATAAGTTATTGGAATGAAATTAAAGAAATCATTTCTGTTAATGAGTTAGTCTTAGGTAAGTCTTGGAAGCAAGTTGAATAGCTCAAACCTAAACCCGACTAAATTAAAATAAACTTTGATGCTACATGTTTTAATATTGGAACTTGTGTCATTGGATGCATTGGTAGGAATCATCAAGGGCAAAGTTCTTGAAACCAAGGCCCTTAGGATTGGGTCAACGATGATTAACCTTGGTGAAGTGTGGGCGGCTTGTAAAGCTATAAATATAGCGATCAACTACAATAACTAGCAAATCACCATCGAAGGAGATTTAAAGATTGTCATAAACTATCTTAATAGTAGAATCACTCCTCCCTGGAGATTGAAATGCATTATCAATGAGTGTCTCAAGCTTATTGACTTCTTCAACTTGGACATCAATTTCAAGCATACGTACTGAGAAGCAAATCAAATGGTAGGTGGTTAGCCCGAAGGGCTCTAAGTTGTCAAGATCAAGATAGTAAGTCGTCTTGTGTAGCTCATCATTTTTCATAAAAAAAAGACTAATATCCTCAAATGAACTAAGAGAAGACAACAAGGACAAAATTAAATCCACCATTGAAACATAAGAAGAAACATCCTACAAATCTTGACACAACCCTCACCAAAGGACATCTAGAGAACAAATGGATCACTTCCTCATCATTTTGCCCACAAAACGCACAAGAATGATGCACTTGAAAACCCCTACTCTCCATAACTAAAGCCACATAAACAAACCATTTAATCACCCTCCATAAAAAGTTTAAATTTGGGCAAAAACTTTTACTTCCACTCCCTATTAATCAAATTTATCACAATAGCAAAAAGAAAAACAACATGATATTTCCAAATATAAAAGATAATCCCCTTAACAGAGAAGGAACCATTCCTACTAAAAACATGAGTACTAAGAACGAGATTAACCCATGGAGAACCAAATCAGTCTCTAACCTTAGAGAACTCCAAGATCCATCAAAATTCAATAGATTTGCAATAACCAGATTTCCATCCTATAATTAGGCGGACCAATCGAAGCAATGAAATCCAGCTCATTTTGAATCCAAGGGACCATACCAATGTTTTCAAAATTGGACTAGATCAGATGATCAGACCAAAAAAACTAGGAATTGGTTATCTAATTGGTTCTGTTTCACCCCAAAACTGCTGATCCAGGTGGTCAAACTGTCAACTCAAACAATGGTTTTGGCAGTTTTTTGTTTTTATTTTTTATGTTTTTTTTAGAATAGGCTGTTCATTTGAATCGGTTAGACTGTTCGACCTAGAAATGAGTCTCCAAAACGGTTCCTTATTTAGTCTTGTTTTAAAAACCTTGTTCCACACACACGTTAATTTAAAAAAAAACTAAAATCCCACTTAACGAAAGACATCTCTTAAGGAATTATATATATCTTTCCAAATCATAGAATCCTACTTAATTTTAAAAGGAAACAAATGCTTATTAGAAATATATTTCACTCTCAAAAGCTGAACCTATAGTGCATTCAATTTATTAAGAAACATCCATGCTAGCTTCCACTGAAAAGCTTTATTCAACTCAACAACATTTCGAAGACCTATACCACCTTCAAATTTATGAGGACAATTGAAATTCCAATTGGCCTATCTAAAACTTTTGGAATTATTGGCCCCATTCTACAAAATATTCCCTTTTGAATTGATCAATTTGTTATTATTAACTAAAGCTGACAATTGAAAGATGTACATAACATGATCAGGACTGATTTTAGCAGGACCAACTTCCCTATTTGAGATAGATTAGAAGCTCTCCAACCACTTAACTTAAAGGCCCCTTTTGGCACGTCTTTTTGCATGGAGTGTCATATTTTTAGATGTCTAGCAGCTCACATTTTGGTCTTTTTCCGTTTGGTTGGGAAAAGATTTAGCCGCCAAAAGTTGCATCCACAAAAAGATGTAGGAAGAACTTTTTTGGGCTATTTTTGGGAACCTCCAAATGGAGCTTTTCACCTTTTTTTCCAATTCATCTTCGTGCAGACAAATGCGCCTTAACCATATGGTCTTCAAATTGCTAAGATCTTGATGCAAAATCTCACATCGACTTTTAATTGTCTGAACTTTCAAAAGATCTTTCAAAAAAGTCTTGCCAAACAACCCCTTACTTTTTAGATTATCAAGTATAAAGTTAAGGGAATGAGTTATATTTTTTGGCCAAAAAAAGGAGAACATCAAGATATTTGACGATCTAGATTGCATCTTTATTTGATGTTTCAATGGTTTTTCCCATTCATAACTAATGTTTTTGTTAAAAAAAACCTAAATGTAGTGAATGCTCCATTGTGTTCTGTCATTTTTAATAATGATTTGACCGACATGTTCCACCTATGTTTGGGCTTGTAACGAGTGAAGTCTATCATATAAATTGGGCATCAAGTGATAAATTAGGTGTTATTTATCAAAATTCATAGATAGGTTTTAATTGGTGAAAACTCTTTAGATACCATATGTTTCCTAGATCATAGATTTTCCCTTTTGTTTCCAAATGAGTAGATGTATCTATTTATATTACTTCCATGGTTTTACAGACCAACTTAGGAAATGAAACTGCTTTGTCCATAGGTTTTCGGGTTAAATGGTCCAATTGTTTAGTTCAAACCTCGGTAAGATGTTTTTGGGTTCTAAAACCAAACTTGGAGCCATGATTGATTCCTAGGTCTCTAACCATTAGTCTAGTCCAGTTTTCAAAACCATAATCAATTCATTAGACTTTTTTTTTAATACAAAAGGTGTCTGGATGGATGACAATTTTCCTTGTCCCTATTGGGTACCTAGACTCCCCAACCCAGTTGTGTTTGGTATGGGGAGTGCTTTGGCTAGGTCGAGGGTGAGGATGGGGCTAATTTTGAATTCCCAGTTGGTTTCGGGGACAGGGATGGGGAATGCAATCCTCGCCCCACCCGAACTCTGATTATATATATATATATATAATATTTATTTATATTTTAAACAATATTATAATTTTATTTTAAATATCATAAATTTAATTACTTAATTAACAAAACAGTAATTCACTAAACACCAAAACTAATTAACTAAACAAATTAACAAAAATGTCCATACATCTTAGTGGACACTCAACAAAAGTGAGAACCTGAACCCTACTTTTTTTTTTCTTTCATTTTCCATAGTGTTCAATTGTTCTCTTCTACTCTTTTTATTCATTTCGTTCATCTTTGGTGTACTATTTGTGACTTCCACTCTTTAGGCCAAAGGGTCTTCTCTCTCTCAAGTCTCCACAAACCTAACGAACCTCCTCTATGTAACTCTGTTTCCTCTAAAATAGAAATCTCCACAACAATCAACAGATCTGAAACTTCCAAGTTTCATCAACAGATATTGGTAAGTCTAACAACCTCATCTTCTTATACTTATTTTTGATTAATGCATTTCAAGGAGAAAAGGGTTATGATAAATTTGTTTTGATTTTAATTTCCTCCCCCCATTTTTTTTCAAGATAGAACTACTAAAAATTTTTAGTTTGCTAGTGAGATAACCTCATGTTTGATATTATTTATCACTGAATGAAAAATTTACTTTTACAGTTTTTGTCCCAAACATACAATACCATTGAGGTGTCAGGAACATCAACTTACAACAAGATTTTTAAAACCGAACCAGACAACAAACTGGCCAGGGGTCTGGGTCCTGGGTCGAACGGTTTGACCGTTCGAATCGAACAGACGACCCATTTGACAAAAAATAAAACAACCAAAACCATTGGATGGTTCAAATGCCCGAGTCAACGGTTTGCTAACCAAATCAACTGTTTTTGGTGAAATAACAGTTCTGAGGTAAAATGGAACTGATCCCCTAACCGATTCCCAGTTTTTTCAGTTTGATCATCTGGTTCAATTCGGTTTTGAAAGCCATGGCTTACAATGAAAAATTTGTAGTTTTATGCCTATTGTTTCTGTAATTTGAATAATCACTAAAAAGGTAATTAGTAATATAAGTCATTCTAATTAATTGCTTAGAAGTCTTAAGATAATTATAGTTGAAGATGATTAAAAAGGACATGGATTGGGTAAGTAAGAAAATACGATCTGGGTCTCGGGAACCCATCCCCATCGGGGTCGGGGATGGGGAATATAATCTCGCCCCGAACCCGCCCCATTGCCAGATCTGTTCCTCGTAAAGTGCTTCTCACACTAACTTCACAACGCCTCTAGACGCACATCGAGAATCTCCAATACTGTATTTTTATTAATAGGTAGACCTGTTCATAGGCCGGGCCGGGCTGGGCTTGGGCCAGGCTTTTCACTCTGTATTAATAGATTTTTCTAAGCCCCGAGCCTGAGCCTGGCCCGACCATTGGGCCTACAACTTGGGCCTGAGCCCAACCCTCATAAAAAGCCCAAAGCCCGGGCCTGGGCCCGAGCCCGAAATTTAGCCCATACTGTTACTACTGCTGAAGCAGCTGAAGAGAGAGAGAGAGAGAGAGAGAAATTATAAAGAAAAGAATAAAAATGTATATATTAAATTAGAAATATATATTTTATAAAATATATAATATATAAAATACATATTATATATTTTATAAAATATATAATACTGAGTTGGACTGGGCTTTTTTGACAAATCCCAAACCCAGCCCGAAACACAATCGGGCTTATTATGTTAGGCCCGAGATCAGGCCCGCGGGCCTAATTACATGACCAAGCCCGACCGGGGTGCGGGCCGAGTAGAGATGTTTCTTAGTACACGGTGGGATAGGGTTGTAACTTGTAAGGTCGTTGTGAGCTGCGCTGTGTGCCGAGCAAACCCTGATTCATTTTCACAAAATACTGATCAGCGCTTATTAGCTCATCCGGTTAAAAACGATGATGAAAAGCTGAAAAAGTCTCGCTCCGCCGCTCATCACAAGAACTCTCCCGCCTGCAACAACTTCAGTGTGCGAAGAAACTTTGCCCAACTCTTCCCTTCTTTGGCAACTTACGGTATGTTAAATTCTATTTCTTTCTATCTGTTTTCTTCCTCTTTTCAATGCGAGTATTCTGTTCCACAGAGCTGAGTCTCGGCTTATACGGCTCTGGGGTCTCGGGTTGTAGCGCTAACCAGAGTAGAGAACTGATTCTACTGTTCTAGGTTTCAGGTTATCATATAGCCATAAAACTTTGTACTTCCCTTTTGCATGATTTGCAGAGTTCTGCAACAATTGGAAAGACGAAAGAAATAAAAACATGTTTGCGATTCTGGTACTTCAAAAGTTTAAGAATCCAAGTGACACATTAGAAAAGATGAATGTTAATATAAGAAAGGATGCTTTGATGTTTCTGAAAGATGTTCCGGAAATTATTCGAATCTGGGGGCGGGGGTTATGTGAAGAGAGATTGGAATGGAACCACATGGTATGCAGATTTAGATATTTTGAGCTGATGAGCCACTTGTCATAGGTGGTTACTGGATGCACTTGGTGCAAAGAAATATTTTCCATTTGAGTTAATTCCAGTTTTTATTTCATCAGAAATGATTACATAAGACTGATCACCTATGAGAATCTTAAGAGCCACATAAAAGTTCTCAATCATGGAAGGGACTTGTCTGCCCCAATTGCAATTGACTGTGGTTGGCACACGTATAGGATTGCCTCAACATTGGGGAACCGTTATTGTAATGTAATTTTAATTCATTCTCATCTTTTTACAAGCTAATAGGCACCTTTTAACTCTTTGATTTTGACAAGTTGATCAATTGCAGAGGACCATCTCTATGATATGTTTAGGAAGGACACTAAATCTATGACCATAAAAGCTTGGCAAAAGTTTTAATGCTGGTTGCCATCCTGACACAGTCCTCTCCTTTGTCCAGGCAGAGTTAGGAGGGACATTAAATGTCTAATTCAGTTAGGGAATAGAGATGGGCTTGGGTCTGGGAAAACTGGACAGTTTGGGTCTGTAACTTTATGACTTACAACCTATTGTATATTGAGGGTATTAGGACCCATCCAATGATATCTACACCAAAAATGCTTGATCAGATAACTTCTAGCCATATGATTTGTGCATTATCTTGTTGTGCATTTCAAGAGATGTCATGGAGCTTTTTCTAACCTTCCAAATATAAACAGTGGAAATGCCAAGCTGTGATCAAATTGCAGGTTCAATCTTGGTGGTTGGCACCTTCTTAATGGGGGACAAGTACATAGTTATAGGGCCCTGGACTGGAATACACGTCTTGTGTCTCCAGGCCTGAGCCAAGCTTCTGCCAATCAAATACATGCTCTTAAGATTCATCTACCTTGGAATTTTTTTTTCTTATACTGCCATGTGGGTTGATTGCTAAAACAAATTATTTTGCATTCTTCATACAGGAAGGTTTCTCTAGAACTTGGAAATTAATTTGTAAGTGGGATGGCTCTGAGAGGTGTTTGGCAACTCCAAAAGTTGATTGTGAGCTATTGTGATTGGGGTGGAAGCAGTCGGGGTATCAGGTAAGTTTCCTAATGAAATAACCTATGGTAGTATGCATGCTCCTCTGCAATAAAACGAAAGGAACATTTTACCAGTGAAACTAAGCAGTCGGACCCAAAGAGTTGAGCTTGTGTATGTTATACCTGTGCATGAACATCTACAACAGAAGAAACCACTAGTATAATGTATCTTTATTTCTCATCATTTCCTTTCTTTGTTTTCTTTTTATTCTTAGACTCCTTTTTCCCTTGTAATGCATATTTCTTTTGTTATTATTTTCCTTACAGTTTGATAGATGTTAAATAGGATTATCTTGTTCTTTTCTTATAATATTTCAGCACATGCATACCTTTAAAGAGATCTTAATTAGGAAATGTGTGTTCTTTACATCCACAGATGTGTTTTCAGTTGTTTTTGCATGTTAGACAGTTTCTTTAAATCCATTGTATCATTTTAGTTTTGAACATAATTGTTTCTTTTTACTCATAAAAAACATGATTGTTTCTTTCGGAGAAGATTTAATATATATTATTTCATAATATCAGGAGGATTTGAGAGGCATTTTCTCATACATAATGGACTGGGCATTGATATCAAAAGACAAAATAATATCATGAAGCATTGGTGTACATTTGAATGCTTTTGTTGTTTGTATTCTTGCATTTTTGTTACTGTTCTTCTTTTTTTCTTTTTCTTTTTCTTTTTTTTTTTTGTGAAGTGAGATGACTTTTGTGTTAAAAGGAGGGAGAGGGCCCCTCCAAATATAACTATACAAAGAAGGGCATCAAAGCTCAAGAGTATGAATATATACATCTTGCTAGATATAGCCACAAAATCATTATCTGTCATGATCTGATTCCAATGATTACTATAATGGGAAGAACTGATTTTGCTAGTCTATTACCTATTAACCTTTAGGATCCCCTTAAAAGTGGCCAATAAACTGAAGAAACTGATGAGAGACTTCTTGTGGGAGCCATGGGATACAAAAAAAGATCATTTGGTAAAATGGGAGGTGGGTTTAAGGAGTAGGGATAGTGGAGGCCTAGGGGTAGGAAACATTAAACTTAGGAACTTGGCACTACTGGGTAAATGGCTGTGGAGGTTTCCCTTGGAACAAGAGAACTTATGGCATAAGGTCATTGTAAGCATCCATAGCATGGCAGACAATGGATTGGCCTTGATCCTAGAGCAACAAGGGCTTCTCCTTGGAAAGGAATTCACAATTTGCTACTGTCTTTCCTTCAGATGGTCAGGTATGATGCTTGTATGGGTAACAAAGTTCATTTTTGGGAGGATATCTGGCTTGGGACATTTTCTCTCAAAGACAGATTTTCACCTATTTTTTGCTTTGTCCCTCAATAAAGGGAAAGTGATTTCTTCATTGCTTGTTAATGAAAACTCTTGGGATCTAGGATTAAGGAGAGGGTTAAGGGAACATCAAATGGGCTTAGTAGATGAACTAATTTCCCTTCTTAATACTGCATTCCTGGACCTCTCTTGCCAGGACAGCAGAATCTGGTTAGAGTCCCCCTTTGGCTGCTATACCCGTGCCTCTTTTTTCTCCGCCCTCCTTCATTCCTCGCACCCAGGAGGCTCCTTTCCTACAAAGGAAGTCTTGTGTAGTCTTGGACCCCCCAAAAATAAGAGCCTTTTGTTGGGAGATGGTGCTCCAAAAAATTAATACTCTGGATAATTTACAAAAAAGAAGGCCAAATCATTACCTCTCCCCTCATGTTTGTTGCCTTTGTTTGGGAAATGGTGAGACAGTTATGTTAGACAGTTTTGTATGCCCTTAGCTTCAATCAGAATGATGTACTTTATGAGTTTATTGTAAATGAATAAAGATACATATTTGATTCAT